GAAAGTGTGGCACACGTGTGTGCATGTGTGGTATGTGTGAGCAGTGATCCTTGTGTCCCTTTGGGGTTTATGACATTTTTATGTGGCACAGTTGGGTGGAAACACAACAATAGGCCTCTTGGTATGTGTAGTTCCAGTGTGCGTTTAAGTTCTGAGCCTTGTTCAGCAAGGAGGATTGAACTTGTACCGCTGCGAGGGTGGCTTCAGATGCATCTGAGACATCTCAAATGCATCTGCCGCTTGTATACGGAGCCGCTCCGAGGATACGGTACACGTTTTCCTCGGTACGGGTCCGAAGTACCGAGGTTTACGAGGTGTAGATGTTCGCTTATGGTATATTTATAAGCGCGAGCTCTGGTTGCGCGGTAGAAGGAATTCCAAAACAGTTCTCGGGCTAAGAAGTTGACACAATCGTCTAAATCGGTCTCCCAGTTGAAAGAGAATCTTCTGACTCCCCAGCGCTTCAACTCCAGTTCAACTTGTAACGAATCGTCGAAGTTCATATGAATCCCGACTTTAACAAAGTCCATCGCGTCTATCAAAGGCATAGAAGCGCCATGGGGGATTGGAGCTCCAACCGGGAAGCGTTCGATCAAACCGTCTTTCTCGAGCTGGGAAAGAGAGGGCGGGATTGGTGATGATTCCGATTCTCGGCACATCAACACGCGAAAGTGTCTGCGAACCGCGGACTGATAGATAAGAAACAAAGGTATAAGCTGGAATGTTTCATGATCAAATGGAAGAAGAACGCACATGGATTTGAAGCATCTGTGATTTAGTGACAGTACCAAGATGGTCAACTTCACGAACGGCACAAGCCCATTGTTTGACGCTTTTAGATTTGTTGACGGATGTTTTGTATGGGTTAGAAGGCATTGCGACTAGAATATGTTCTTGACGTATACAGAAATCAATGATTCAAGCGTTATAAAATGAACAAATATGATTTTTGTGTAGATACTCAGAGGGAATTTAGACAGTCTTGGTATCAAACTTAATGAAGATGTGCAAGGTTTTCGGGAGAGCAGGGGAGTATAAATACACGAACCCAGCACATTTGATAGTTTTCGAAGTACCTCATGAGACACGCAAGGGCAAACCAAAGCTTTGGGACATCACTCGATGAGAGCAAATGAGATGTCTTTCCAATGTCTGAGACCCAATTCCCGTAATTTCATCATAGGTGGATGATAACCGACTACTGTCTATGCAGTTTCTTTTCAATATATCGCTTAACAATTTGAGGGCGACCCATCAACTTCGGTATTCTTAACCAAATACATATGACACATGCGCGATAGCAGGCTATGTTGGGTTTCAAACGCATGCTCTGTCTCTGGGGAATAAGACAGCGGCTGTTTTTCGTAACAAAACATAACGGTGCGATGTGCGTCGGTTACACCCGTTGTCCACAATAAAAGTATGGTCAAGGGGATTTTTTAACGGACTGCCTGTCTGAGTCACTCGACAAAGGCCAGTCCGTGTTTAGTTCTGAGACTTGTTTGCACGGTCTATCTCGCCTCTACAACAACTGATTGGTGTGTGCACGTTGACGTGCTACAAGGGATTTGACGCTGTGAACATGTCTTCAACTTCAGCACTACTGACAAGGATCCCTTGAACTCACAAATCCAAGGTATAGTCAATAGATGGAGAACTCCTTGGAAGCAATAAAAAGCATGACGTACTGCGCCATGAGCATAAACAAACAAGTTTTGGGTGAGAAAAGATTGAATCAGAGGCTGATAAATCATCAATTGAACTTGAAGCAATTCCTAAATCACACATAAGGCCACTTAAAAAGATCTCAGATATAAATTTCATTTCCCATACATGATCTTGATTAGTACTTCAAGACATGTCTTATCAATTATCCTTTTTTTTCATCAGAATATCTAAAGTTTCCTATTCCTGAGCAGAATAGTTCTTTGAAGATATCACACATTCAGAGCTTTTTATAAACAAACTAACTTTTGTGAATGTCTCAACAAAAGTGAAAAAGCACATACCATATACCAGAAGCAGACAGGGGTAAAGAAAGAATGTAAAAGAACAAAGAGATGAATTCAAACCAGAGAAATAACAACATTTCCAAAGGATGGCATTGGCATTGGAGGGATATGTACAAAACAGAGAGACTAGGGCTAGGTAGATTGAAAGGATGTCTTGAACAGTGATGAGACTGATGTTGCTAAAAGATTAGAAAGTTGTTCAAGATCAAAAAGGCAGTAAGGCCAATGCAACAGTGAATGGTAGTAATTCAAGTCAAGATAAGTATGAATAGAGATCAAGATCGTAGTTAAATCTGCTATCAACTCAAAGACATAGCTCTTCATTGAGGACTATTGTAAAGTGAGGTGATGAGTGTATTCCATTTCTTGATATCTGGTCTTACAACATGTCGATCATACTATGTAAAAACAGCATAATCTCAGTATCCATAAGTTTCACAAAGTCAGAAGGTTAAAAGGTAAGGCTTACAGTGACCAATCCGTTAACTTCACCTTCTATATCACTAGTTTGCTGTATTCATTAAACAAAAGAGAAATCAAATCTCAAAAAAAAAGATATAACAAACTAAACCGAAAATTCATATCTTAATCAGAAACCAAACTTACAGTATAAACTCCAGCACTACAACTATAAAGTTGAGATTGTTCTTTTAATTCTTCAATGACTCTTAAAGCACAATAATTCCAAATAGAAGATGAAGTTGTGATTTCATAAGTTCGATTTTGTGATTCGATTGCTTCTTTTACATTCCATGCGTTTTTTAATTCAGGTATTTGTCCAATCCCTCCAAATTCTCCTTGTGATCCGATTCTTTTTGAATCATAAGTTGATGAATCTAATGAATAAAATGGAGTTCCACATTGTGGTGAAGCTAGATAATGATATACATAAAATCAAATCAGATCTTCGATACTATCACAAACAATGAGATAATGAAATAAGCCAATTTACCATAGTGATGATTATCAGAGAAATCTCCAGCCCCATGATCTACGAAAAAATATTAAAAGAAATCAGAGAAAAGATCTTCAAGGAAATCTAATGATCATGAAAGAAAAAAGAAAATTCTTAAAGATCACTTACCTCTCGAACCTGAAACTGACATCACCAATCTAGTAGGATCCAAGACTCTAACTTTCTCAGTAATTTCAATTTCAGGTGATCCAGAAGTCTGACCCCATCCTTCACTTTAAAATCAAAAAATGCAATTCAACAAAAACAAAAGAGATGGAAGATGTTGATCCGAGGAAGTTGAAAATACTTACTTGAAAATTACCCAAGTGACAATACATGGAAAACTATTCAATGCAGCTACCATTCGGTATACTTGTCTTTCAAACTCAACACTCTGCTCGATTGCAGGATCTGGGAATAAGTTAAGTGATGGTATATCCTATCACAAAATGAAATGATCCCTTGTAAACCATGATCAGAATCTAAGGACTTCATCCAAGAGATTATAGCTTACCTGCCAAACTAATAATCCTAATTGATCACAAGCATAGTAGTACAAGTCAGCTTCGATTTTGACATGCTTCCTTAACATATTAAAGCCCAATTGTTTGAGTAATTTCAAATCAGATTCCATAGCCTCGTACGTTGGTGGGGTGTAGATACCTGGGATGTGATGGATCATGATTAGAAGTTAAGAAGAATGTCCTAAAGGTAGAAGCAAAAACAGAGTGATCGAATCATACCATCTGGCCAAAACCCTTGATCCAAAGGTCCGATTTGAAAAACAAATTCTCCGTTAAGGAATGGTCTAATGATCCCTTTCTGATCTAATTTCTTTTCAATAGTTCTAAACCCAAGATAACTTTCTACTATATCATTTCCAAGTTGAACAGTAAAGTAATACAAATTAGGTGTGGCAGGTGACCATAGTTTTGGAGAATCTAACTTGAAAGTAAAAGGCTTGTTGGAAGTGCCCGTGACTGTTAAAAGAGTAGGAGGTAAAGCGGAAGTCTGATCTGTAGAACTTGAAGACGGTTGTTGTGAGTGTAGCGTAACTTTGACCGGAAGGTTCACTTGTGGATCAGATGCTCGCACGGTAATGTTCACTGATCGAAGTTTGTAAAGTTAATTTTTGACGATTTGATTGCTAGACGTAGAGAGGAAGGATCTCACTAACCTACACCATGCATATCAGCATTAGCATCAAGTTTGGTTACATAAACGTCAGGAACTGGCTCCAAGAACACAGTTTGCCAAATCCCAGTGGTTGCGGTATAAAAGACGTGACTTGGTATGACAGCTTGTTTGCCCACTTTCAAAGAAAAGAAACATAAACAATCAATATTAGAAAGAAAGAGATGGATTTTTCATTTGAAAAAAAACAATATGGATCATCATACCTGGTCTGACACCACCCGTATCAGTAGGATCATAAACAAACACCAATAATTCATTTTCTTCTCCAATAGGCTTAAGATATTGACTCAATTCAATCGAAAATTTAAAATAACCACCACGATGAAAATTGATATTTATACCATTGAGAAAAATAGTAGCTTGATCGAGAAAAAAAAGGGTCCAGAAACATTGATTAGAGCTCAAAGTAAGATTTCCAAGTAAAAAATGATTTTTAAAACATACCTAAAGCCTTTTACAGCTATTCCAAGAATTCGTGTCGTGGTCGCACAAATTCATGGTCTTTTTCCCCCCAGCGCCACCGGCGAATACAGGCAGTGCGCAGCGCAGCACAGCTGTAACGGGGTGTGGACCTGTGTGGACTCGTATATCCGGCAGCATCGGATGTACGAGTTTGACTGGCCCTGATGGTTTGTTTGGGTTTGTTTGCGACATCCGTTCAGTGACCCACCGGATTGATCTATCCATATCCACCACCATATCCACCACCATACCAAATCCACCACCATACCATATCCACCACCATACCAACCCAAGCTCACACATCAACACCTCAACCCAACCATCCCAGGCCGGATGGCCTTCCTACGTTTGGCCAATGTTTGGTTGCCCATTCATTCACCAGAACTGGACATTCACTCAAACCACGAGATGACCAAATCCAACCGGACCCCCTCATCCCATAAAAAGACGGCCTCCGTGACCGTTTCGCCCCTCAAGACACTCACTATTGTCAACAGATACTCCACATTTGTCAAAAATTACTCAACGCCCTCAATCATCACCTTCAGTATGGTTAACAGCAAGACTTCCAACGCACCTTCGTATGTCTTTTGTCCCTCCGATCCGTTCTTCATCTCGTCATGATCTCATTTTTTTGTTCATTTTCATTTTGTCAATTCCTCTCATTGTGATTCCGATAGGTCGGCCACAGGTAGAATTGATGTTGTGTCCCGTGTGCTTCGCAACCGCACCTATTCACAAGCACTTATGAATCAGAATGCCGGTACAGCTCGGTGAGTTTTTTGTTCTCGATTATTGAAACAGAGAGATTAACTTATCTTTTTGGCATTGTGTTGGATCGCCAGATCCTCTATCTTCCCCTCTTCTGCTAGGTCGATCATGCCCCCACTGGTTATTGCTCCCTCGCTCATTGGGGTGTCATCACCCCAATGTTCGCCTTGCAAGGAGCCCTCTAAGCGATCTTGTCACCCGGCCGGCACAATAACCCCTTCGATGAAAGATTTTCGCAACGGTAGCTCTGCTGGCCCCACCCCTTCCGGGTCACAAACTTCTTCGGTATCTTCTTTTAACCCCCATCTCAATCCTTCGATTTGCGACACATTCGACTCTTTAGAATCTATACCGCCTCTTCCTCCATCCATTGTCCGGCCAATTCTTTCCACCGCTGCCAAACCAATCCCTGATTCAAGGTCCTCAAATAAGAGGTCGGCTGCGGTCCTTGACCTAGACTCTGACCAGTTCGACCAACTGGATGGTAGGTCAAACGAGTCTCTGGTTACCTCGTCGAAATGATCCTCATGCTGACTTTCATTCTATGTAGAACTAGCTGAGGCAAATGACCATCGAGTCGAAGATTATGGTCAGTAATGGTTTCTATTCCTCTTTACCACGTGAATCTCAAGCTGACATTCATGCTTACTAGATGTACATTTAGAACGGCTTGACCCCCAGGATGAAGATGACGGTTAGTACCTAGTTTCACTTTTTGCTTTACCCTCATGAATGTCTAAACTGACTTTTACTTTTGACCTTTTTAGATCTACCTCCCAATATGTTCTATGACCCCAAACCAATCACCGATTTACCTGTCGACTTGCAACCTAACAAAGGGGAAACATCCGATCTTGCGCGTACCTTCCATGTCGGTTTCAACCTCTGGCAACCAGTAGTCCCCGACGAGCCTGAACCTTCCACTTCTAACGGTAAGAAACGCAAGAAGGCTCAACCAGCTCGCAAGACCCCAGCTCCCAAATTTGAGAACTACAACCCCAAGGTCCCCCATAAGTTTGTAATCAGCAGCCCTGCACTCCACTTTGCTCAATTCCGATTGGTACTTTTCAGAAGTTGCAACAAACGGCTTGATGGTGTTCAGGATTCACTTAGGAAAGCCTGGTACGACAACACCATCGAGATTCAGGGTTACATCCACGGCTCTTGTCACCACAAGGCCACTAAGATGGGTATTGATGATAACGACAGTTTTCAAGAGTTCATGGCCATTACTCAGTCTGTCCCTGCTACCACGGTCATGGGTTTCAAAATCTATCACGAAAACCCTAAACTCACTTCAAACGTTCAACGGAACTTGGAGATTGCTCGCAAAAACCACGCCCCTAAGCCTCCTTCTTCTGATACCGAAGCTCACCCTGAATCAGACGACTCCGAAGGGGTTAGTAACTTTTTTACCTTGCTTGTTGATCAAGGGCTGACTTTCTCATTTGCATGATTAGTCCGCGATATTGAGCGATGGCGAGCGTCACTTTCGAAAACTATGGGCACGGTTTTCAAAGGACTTCACAGCAGGCAAAAACGTCACTTACGCGCTGAATCCAAAGGACCCAAATCTATGTGTTGTGCTCAGCATTGCGCGCATACGCACATGGGCTACCGATTGGGTAAGTCTTCATCATTCCTCTATCTCCTTTGACGTTTAGTTAACACTCTCCTTTGTATTAGGCTGCAGGGGTCGCAGGCGTTGATGAGGTTAATCCTCCTTCCAAGCGCCCTGATTTCCGTTGGATTCCTGTGGCCGAATACAAGAAGGAAAAAAATCAGCTTAATGGTCGAACTACCCCCGGAGCAGTGCAGCCGACTGCCAGTTCGACTTCAGGAACGGTGGTCCACCATATCCTTCATCTGCTTTCCCACCATCTCAAACTTTCCCTTCGGCTCCTTTCCCACCATCTCAGCCTTTCCCTTTGGCTCCTTTGCCGCCCTCTCAACCGTTTCCTTCGGCTGCTTTCCTGCCCTCGCAAAATTGCCCTTTGGCTGCGTTTCCACCGGCTCAACCTTCCCTTCCAGTCCCCACACCCAATACCTATGCTCCCACTGATTCAACTCGATTATCGCCACCTCCCGAGATGCCTCTTTTCGAGGACTTCCTCCTGTTCGCCGGTATCAAGTCTGAAATGAAGAAAACACGTGACATCCTGTATGATGAAGGTATCAACGATTTTGCTCGACTGTTGGACCGCAAGACATACACTTTTGAAAGTTTCCGAAGTATGGGGATAGCGTTTGCTCACGCTGATGACCTTTACAAGGCCGTTCCTGAGTATAACCAGTTCCTGAAATCCTCTAGAGATTCTTCTTGATCTTATTCTTTTATATGTTGCTCTTTCTGATAGACTCTTTGTGATTGATCAATATCCTTACTCAATCAAATATTTGTGATACATTTAAACAAACTTGTGATCGGTGCAATCAATAACTCAACATCCCCTCTTAAAATTTTGTGAACTGTTTCTTCTTTAATCTCCTCTTGCTTGTCTAATTTGAACTTCCAGTCTTACCTGGTGAACCTTGGCTTTTGTCTAACCTCTACATGCAATAATGAGATGTGTGATCTGATTGCTGCCTTCACTTTTCCCAAATGTGCCTCTATATGATGTGTCTATCTTGTGAGTCTCAGTCAAGAAGACCAGTCTTGCGAGATGTCAAAGTTGAGACTGGTCTTTTGAAATGAACACTTTGCACAAGGTCCGATTTGAGACTTGCCTCTTTAAATGAACATAAGACAAATATTTCAAAGGTTCTACAAGAGACCTTTTTTTGCACTCTCAGTGCGTTTTCTCACATGCACAAACTGCAAATTTTTGTGAGAGCATTACATAAAGTTCATCCGATCTCTCACAGGGAACAATATCTTATTGAGACACTTTTTCTCACATTAGGCCTTTGGGACATTTCCAACTGAGCAAACGCTTATGACAAGCAATTTCTGATGATATTTCAAATAAACTGCTAAATCCAGTAGCCACAAACTACATATAACTTGTGCATGAGCTGAGCGGTAAACAAATTCCAGGTTGTATCCATGATCACATCAATCTTATCTTCAGTAGCGGTTGAAATAAGGATCTGGGTGTGTCAAAAGTGGTATTTAAGGACACTAAAAGCCTTCTCAATCGGGTTCAGATCGGGCGAGTAAGGTGGGAGGTACAAGATGCGGATACGCCTTTCTGCAGCAAGTTCATCAATCCGACCCCCATGGTGGATCCTTGCATTGTCCATCACTAAGACGGAGTTTGCCTGAGGGTAGGGATTCATCATAGGAAACTAGCAAAGTTCAACGTAAGTTTTTGAAATTTGGGGGATGAAGGTTGAGAAAAACTGCTTACCAAACGATGTTTGAGGAATCCCTCAAAGTCGTCTCGATAGTAGCTGCCTTCTTGGCAGTCAAGTGCTAATACGCCGCCTTGGAATATGGCCGGTAGGAGTGAGTACCGTTTCCCTCCTCGACTCCAAGGAATTCGTGTGGTCCGTTGACCTCGTCTAGCGCGGCCGAACGTCCTGCCGAGATGCCTTTCCTGAACCGCGCACTCGTCTGAATGGGTCAATATATAATGTCAGCTAATCATTCATCATTCAAAACATGACCAAAAACAGACTAACCGAGGAAAACAAGCATGTTGGGGTTCAGCGCCCCTGCTGCATACAGATACTTAGCTCTCTTCGAGGGACTCTGGTTCGGGTGTACCGTCCGAGCCTTCTTGCGAGTCAGGTGGAGTTGATCCTTGAGATCACTCACAATGGTTTGCAACACGACCCATTCGCCGGTACGTCGATATACCGCAAATCGATACTCGTCCAAGTAGAGAGCTGGATTGCGATCTATATAGTAACTCCAACATAAATTCTCTATCCTCGTCGTCCAGACGGGTTAATCTTCCAAGGCGACGATAGTCTTCAGGGTTGCGAATCACTGAATAGGTACGTCGATATAAAGAGTGCCAACGGGATATGCTCCGCGTGCTGACCGGTGACTTCAACAGCCGACGCACTTGCTCGATGGTTTTTCCTGTGCAAAGGTGCTGCACTGCCAGCACCTTGATGCCAACGTCGTATGGAACGGGTCGAGATCGCATGTCTAAAATGGGGATGTGGAAGTGTCAGCATCATGGTTCTCTGAAAATAAAAAAGAAGACTAACCAGAGAAGATATGGAATGAAATTTTCCGATGTGGGAAAAAATTCCACGTGGGAAAATTTTTTGATGGGGGGCCAGGCCCGATACCTGGTCTGTGTATCCGGCGGTTCGGGGCTGAGCTGCTCTTCACCCCGCTGCGCCTGTATTGCCGGTGGCGCTTGGGGGAAAAACACCATGAATTTGTGCGACCACGACACGAATTCTTGGAATAGCTGTACATACCTTCATAATCAATTGCACCAAAGTTTAATAAAACCTTTTGATGATTCCAATCCTTTGAAATCACAAACGTTTTTCTATACCAAAGATAAGTAAGATTATTTTTCATGATTCCACTTAATGAACTTTCAACACAAAATGGTATTAAAATCTCTTGATTAAATCCTTTATTATCATTACCTCCATGACTAAACGGAGGTGAATCTAATTCTAATGAACTATTTCCAAACTTAAGTTGCCATAATCCGTTTAGATTTTTCCATTCAGTTTGTTTTAGTTGAGGTCTTGGATATTCTGGCCATGGATTTAATCCAACTTTTTGGGTCCATTCTGTGTCTAATGGACCTTCTTTGAGTTTATATGAAGTGACATTATTGGTTTGTGAGACGGTTTCTCTGAGAGAGATACTGATGATAAAGAGAATCACCAAGATACGAATCATGGTATGGTAGATTGGCGTTTTCTCAAGTATGAAGGGCTGATCGTGTTGGCGGAGGAATATATTCCAACCAGGTCGAACAAATGAATGCCTTCAGGGGGCGGTGAAGAATTGAATATACGTTTTGAAGAATCACAGGCTGCGTAGGAAGGACTTGAATTTGCCCCACCTCATGTTCAAGTCTAAACATCCGCTGCCAGGCTTTAGAGCATCGCCACCGGGGCGCGCAAAATCCCAAATACAGGCTATTTTCACGTCTTGTGGGAAAATATTCAAGCCACCGGAGCGTGTAAACAGCCTGTATGGGTTACACGACGTCCAAATCTTGACCGGGAGAGTGCAAATCTGCACGGCGTACAAAAAGGCAAATATCACCAAAATCTGACATATTGTCCGACCTACCCTGTCATTTTGTACGAGACGAACGATCTTATGCTTGGATCAAAGGCATAGACTGTTTGAACCTGTCAGTTTCTACACGGCCGCGGTTTTGCCTACCTCCGCGCAAATTTGGCATACAGGCTCAAACCTGTCAGCAGGACATCGTACAGAGCAGTTTTTTACACGCCAGCGGTGGAGATGCTCTTATGTATATCAACCAATATCAACAGCCTGATCGCGCAGCTTTCATTCGTCCGAGCAGGTCTACCGTCTGAGCTCTGTGCGAAGTTCACGAGGTGCTAGGAATAAACAAATTTGCGGGGGTTTGAGATTAACTTGACAGATAGGGGATATCAAGTAAACGTTTTCTGGTGCTCGTTTTGAATTTTCCCACTGCTCGAATGTTTTAAGTGTGATGTGAAACTTGATCCCAGCCAGCGTCATGCTCATTTCATTCTTACAGAGCAGCAGGAAAATTTTGATTCAAAACTTCCAATTTCCACTTCACTATGATTAATCCAAGTGCGAGGTTTGAGGTGATTGTTTGTTGTGATCCAAACTCAAACCCATGATGAATGACACATTTTTCTACAAAAAAGAATCAACAACAGGATTGTGATACGGAGCATTCATGCATTTGATTTGTTCATGTTTCCAGGTTTATGCTATATGAAATACATTGTAAATAACCAATTCAAAGACAAGAGCTCATCGAGCCCCAAAAAGAAAGAATCACTCTTGATTGAATTGATTACAAAAAAAATACAATGATTGTTCACTCCAGACATCGCAACTTGAAAAAATGTAAAAAAATATAACTTTGATAATAACAACAACATGTTTATTCACAATACATAAGAGAGATGAAAAGAAATCGAAATATTGAAGAAATCAAAAGAACACCATAAACTTCTAAAACGAAATCATCTGACAACTCCTTCTCTATTTGTTTATGTATATGGTCCAATTCATGCAGTCAGGGTAGGAGAACCTAACATCCAAGTTTGTTCAGTAGAAGTTTCTTCATCAGATCCACTCAATTTCCTCTTATGCAATCTATTTCCATTTCCATTCCTATTCCTAAGAACCAATACACCAGCCAAGAAAAGTGCGATTCCACAACTCACAATCGTGATCCGAAACGCATCACGATAACAAGCTTGACCTTCCATACAAAGTAATTGATTTGGTAAAGGGTTTTGACGATAATGAGCATCATAAATTTGACCAAATGAAAGATTAATGATTTGACCAGCAAAGACAGGTGCGAGATTTAAAAATCCAAAATTAGTGGTAAAATGATCTACACCAAACCAAATGATCATTAGGTTCGGTCCACTTCCATACATATTTCCATATGCAAAACCAGTTAAACCAGTCAAGAGTGAAATTGATGATAAGTTTTTAACGACTTGTTGTCCTAGATATTGACTTAAAAGAAATAAACTTGAAACCCAACATAACCACCATACTTTTGATAGACCATAACGTGCTTCTAGTGTATCTGAGATCAGTCCTGCAAAGATTCGACCAAGACAATTGAAGACTGATAAAAGTGAGACTTGATTGGATTGAATATGAGAGACTATGGATGAATTGTTCGGATCTGAAGGATGGGTAGAAGTAGGTGGATGTTCTTGGAAATCTAATGTCGCAATCATCGTACCGCTAATATAGAGAAATGTTAGTTGCAAGGATGACGATCAGATTCTTCAAGACACTTACATATTGTTGATGATCATTAAAGCTGTACCGCAACAGCAACCCATGACAATCCACAATAACCAGAAATCCAAAGTTTTCATCAACTTAGTCCCATAAACATCCACTTTCTCATCGATTGACTGAATGGTCTCTTGAGTAGTATGTTCTTGATCTTGAGAGGGTGATAAGTCTTGATGAGATGAAGTTGCAATCGCAGAAGATTCTTGTTCATCATCAGCCAAAGATTCAATCTTCGGTCTTCGTTCTTGTTCGAGAGTATCGAGCGAGCTTAAGCCACAGACGCCAATCAGGATGAAGGAGGAGGTACCAAGACTGAGTACTAATAAGAAGCTTGAAGTGTCGTCAGAGAAGAATAGTGCACCGATCCTAGTCCAGAAGAACGCAGAGAGTCCGAAACCAGCCAATGTGAAACCAATCACTGTGGCTCGAATACGCGAATGAAAAGATTTGGCAGCAGCTCCAGCCGCAGAACTCAAAGCAGTTGAAGAACCGATTCCAGTTAAGAGCATACCGAAAGCCAAAATAGCTACAGTGATCGGATTAGATTTGATGAGTTTTTGATCTTGATCAGAAGAAGGAATCGGATTTGAACGAAAGATTTCCCAAACGATTCCATAACCCAAAAATAATAAACCAGAAGCAAAAAGTAAAGGTTTACGAGGACCGATTCTATCTATAATTCCACCTACGATTGGAGATGCAAAATACATTCCAATATTACCAGAAATTCCAATCGCATTTAAAGTAGTTGATGATAATTTGAGTCTTTCAGCCAACTGTGGTGAATACGCTGAGAAAGCATCTGTAGAAAAAAAGAAGAAACCATGAAAAAACGTCCCGTTAAATTTGGATGAAACTTTAGGTTTGATGATATATTTTGAAACACTTTACAATTTGTTCCTGCACTGAGAGAAACGATGATAGAAGAGATTAAGATGATAATCCGAGTTGAGTTGAATTCTTGAGAATGAGTAGTCATCGAGGTTGGCGGAGTTTTTAAAAATTAAAAATTAAAAAGTTAAAAGCAAATCCAAACTACCAAATGGAAATCTCCGCAAAATTTAATTCAAACCGAAAAACTATTGACGACCAAATCGATCACTCTCCACAAAAATGTAAAAAATACAATGAGAATGCGCAGGTTTTAAGATTTCTTTTTGTTCTCTGGTGCCTTTTGATGAAAAGCACAAACATCAGGCAAATCAAATCAGTTTCAGGTCTCACAAAGCAAGTCATGGATTGGAAAAACAAATTGATTTCATTCAAGATTAATTTGAAACCAGCTGATTCATATGTCTCAATTACGGTACACAAATATCGTTCTGGAAATTTCCAGAAGGTTTTTTCCAGAACGCCAGAACCCTTCGGGAAGCCTTCTGGTGTTCTGGAAAAAACACAAATTCAACATAAACTCTCTGCTGCAGCCTGCTGCAGCTTCCCCACATACCCCGCCTAACAAACATGGATCAAGTGATCGACGACCATACTCCCACCTCCAGCCAACCAAGCAGCCCTCAAGAAAACCAAGTCATCACACCGTTCACCTTCCAAATTCACCCATCTTCTCTTCAGGCCTACCCATCAAATTTCAATTTGAACTCCGGATCACCAAACTTCTATACACAACCTATTCCTGCTACTGTAATTTCACCCTCTGCCTTTGGATCCTCCTTCAATTCGATGGCTTCTCTCTCTCAACCTATCAAACAACCAGTCTCATCAATTCAAAAGAATTCAAGAACTGCCAAGGCCAAAAAAGGTAAGGCCATGTCAACATCCACTTGCAAAGCCACCACCAGCAAAGTCCCGAAGTCCAATTCAAAAAGAAAATCCAAGAAACAAGATGCAGAAGAACCCAACGATAGTGTATCCACTCGAAAAGCACCAGTGTATTGGGAAGAGGAGAAAAATGAGAAGGGGGAAACTGCGATGAGTATTCTGTTGAACTGGATCACAACTTATGGTAATTGGACTCGGTACAAGGATAAGACTCTTGTGAAAAGTCATACGGTGGAGGAGATCATCGATTATTTAGCTCAGCATGGTTTTTATGGCCGAAGTGTCAAGAACGTGGAAGGAAAGGTGAGTCTCAAGACCATAAAGCTTTTGAATATCAACTGACACACATGATTTATCTTACAGGTTTCGGAACTCGAAAAAAATTCATTTCGGGTCAGATGTGGCTAAATAGCACTGGTCAGGGTGTAAAGAATGGAATCGAAGCAGAGAAAGCAAAGAATGGCTGGACTGATGACCATCCAGAGTATTTGAACCGTAAGAAGTGTTTGATACAGGGTGAGCAATGGCTGACCCCAGTGCAGTGCAGCGCATTTTTGGTGAAAACTGCACTGTGCGGGCACCAGGACCAGTAGCCACTGCGCAGTGCTGTTAAATTTGCGCAGTGGCCAAAATTTCGTTGAGACAAGGGTACTCGCCTTGATGGTGCAAGCAGTGCGGTACCAAACTCTGCTGACAATTCTTTAAATTGTTCGGGACTGTCATTAAGCCTGATCGAGGCCTCACAAGTCACTGAGAGTCCCGACCCAAACACTCGAATCAAAGATGATCACTCACAAGCTTCCAATGATGAGTACTATTGTCAGCTCACCGAGGAACAAAATCTGGAAGACAATTTCAACCAAGAAATTCGACGTGCTCTGAACAACAATTTTCAAAATGATGGTGAGTTTGTCTCTTGTAATTCATACAGTATAAACTAATGTTCATCTGATTTCATCTCTAGGAGAACCGAGTCAACCGAATCAAACACAGAATTTGTATCACGGTAGCTTGATCCAACCATCACAATCACACCGAACTCACAAACCGGGGGCTGAAACTCGAGTCAGTCAATTATTGAGTCAGCCAGACACCGAGTCAAATTCTTCAATCACTCGTCTTGAAGATGTCCTCATCAAGAGTGAACTCGAAAGCAATACAATGAAGGATGTTATGAAGGATTTGGCCAGTGCTTTGATGCCAAAAAAGGATTCAAAAACCTTATTAACTGAAGAACAGCTGTTAGAACAAGCACAGGTCGATGTGAAGCTCAAGATTTGTCAACTTGAAGCGGCTCGATTAGATGTTCAAAAAACAAAGCGGGCTATGGAACTCGAATTGGCAATGGCAAAAGGACAATTCATCAATCAATTCATGAAAGATAACAATGTTGCTTATGAACAAGCAAAAATAATTGCTGATGATTTATACAAGACTGTTGAAAAGACGTAAGGATATTTTCAATGTTCTATGCGATAGACTTCTTGACTGATTCTTTTGATTTATACTTAGGTCTGAAAACTGATCTAATCACTTACTCAAGTTTATAAAAAAACAGTATCGGTTTGCTCAGATTTGAGACAATTTTATTCGGTTTCAAAAGGTTCTCGTTTTTGAAGTTCAAATGTTTGTCAAGATGTACTTGTTGAAAAGTTTCAAATTGCTTTCAGAAGCTATGTAGACAAGATACCCAGTCGGTTTTCCTGGGTCTCTTCTCTACTCTTACCTAAATCGTTGTTTCACAAATACAAGTCTGTTAACAAAACAAGTCTTATAAAGAAAAATTATTTTCCTTCAGTTTCTTCCCTACTCTTACTTATATCGTTGTTTCACCAAATAAAATTAAGAAAAAAGTTATTTTCTATCTTTTACCTTTGTTGATTTGAAATTTATTGCTCGTTTTTGGTCATTGTTTGTGGTTTTGAATAACCAAAACCTTTTTGAAGTAGTATCATCAGTTTCTTATCAAAAAGGTGACCATAAATAAGGTCAAATTGAAAAATTTAAATTTGAGTGGCATTTTTTTTACAACAGAGTCGATTTGTGAAACTAAAACAAATTCAATCAAAGGTTTGAAAGCCAATAAACCAGTGAGAACGACTCAAAGTTGTGAATTTTAGTTCAACAGATAAGAACGATTCAAAGTTTTGAAATGTAGTGAAACAGATAGACGATTAATTAACCCCTTGGAGTCGCTATAAACTCAGCAAAAAGACCATCTCGCCTTGTAGTATCCTGCCTGAAATGATTAACATCAGTTGTTTGTCCAGAAGGTTGGTTTTGAGGAGGCCTTGCATTTCCTACTGAGTGAATCAGGCCTTCTTCAATTGATCCAAACTCGTCATGCCATTCTTCCCCACCAGCCTTTGAGAAATTATGTAGAATTATGCACGCACGGATCCACGCATTCGCCCTTTTCGCACTTGACACCCCACGTAAGATTATCCTGATTTCTTTTAAAGACTGGAATATGCCTTTAAGCATACCAATACTTTGTTCGATAATGACCCTCCACTTAGATAATTCTTGATTGAATGCTTCTTGATTATCCCTCAAGTGGCGACCAACAGAGCGTTTGAAAGGTGTGATTACATGGGGAGATAAGGTATAACCTGAATCTGCCAAGAGAAACTCTTCCTCGTTCATGAAATTGGCAGGATCCGTGAAGAGCTGGGTAGAAGTCAGTTAAACTCCATCTCATCCATTAAGCTTACCACAAACAAACTTACTAAAGAGGAGCGATAAACCCTTTGATCATGAGCCGAGCCACACCAACCAAGTTCATAGAATCGGATTGACTTGTGTACGTCACACACTAACATCACATTGAAAGCGTAAAAGTTTTTCCGTGTCCAATAGTCCTCAGGATTTCTCACCGGCGCAAAAGCAAGTGGCATGAGAGTTCCGTCCATAAATCCCACCGTATCTTTGAAAACAGTATCCTTCATTTTGGATTTCAGTTCTTGTCGTTCATTTTCTTTGGGCCAGAACACCCAGTCCTTTTCAATTTGAAGGATCACATAAATACATCGATTCTTCCAATTTTGGACACTACCTTCTAAACTAATCAATCGGATCAGTAAATAGAATCAATGTTTACCAAACAAGACAGTTCACTAACCTGAAATGTGAAAC